GGGGGGGCAAATGATTCTTACACAACTGGAGAGAATTATCAGTGTCTTATTAATTATGCACTGTGAATTTTTTTAAAGAAGTGTGAGATAAATGTCTCATTAAGTGCTAAACTATACAAGAAAATTGAGCAGATCAGATAAGAAAAATGTGAAGAGAGGAAGATGAAGGATAACAAAAGGAGAAAGAAGAGGCTCCAGTGTAGAGAGTAAACAAAGCAAAACAAACTAGTTGTGTTTAAAGAGTTGGCTAAGTCAGAGATAGTATCAGGGATTTGAGGGAGGGGAAATACCATTGGTCAAATTCCTAATGCCCATCAATTTGTAGCCCAGCAACCCCTTCAGTAGGGGGAAGAGGGTGGGGGTTGAGGGAAGCACGGTAAATGGACTCAATTTTTCTAGGTAAACCAAAGGAAGTGTATATTCCTCCCTTAGGGGTTTTGGTTGAGGGCCTAGAATTCAAAGTAAAACTATTGGACCTGAAACAAACCAGATTATGTTGTCTCCTTTCCTTGAATAAAGATATTTCCTAAAGCTGAGAGAAGTGAGAACAAGTGAAGCATGATGTCCAAGGAAATATTCCCTGAGGCCCCCCCATCTCATCCTGTTTTCTAGGAAACACTGAGCCTAGAGGCCCCTTTAGTTACCACAGCAACTGAATTAGCTGCCAAAGGACATCCTGTACGGCAGTGCTGTCTAATAGAAATATAATTTGAGCCATTTATGTAATATTAAAATTTTTTAGTAGCCATATTAAAAATTTTTAAAGAAACAAGAGAAATTAATTTTAATAATTATTCTATTTGACCTAATATATTCAAAATATCATTTCAGCATATAATCAAAGTAAAACTTAAGTTAGTTCATTTGTTTTCTGCCAAGTCTTCAAAATTCAGTGTATATTTTACATTTACAACATGTCCCCATTTTAGACTCTTAAGTTTTCTACAGTTAAAGATGTTCTATCAAAACAATAAAGTTGTGTTTAATGGGAAATATTTTAAAATTGCTTCAATTTTATTATTTTTATTTATTTATTTTTTAATCCTCACCTGAGGATATTTTTTTCATTGCTTTTCAGAGAGAGTGGAAGGGGGAGGGAAAGAGAGAGAGAGAGAGAGAGAGAGACAGAGAGAGAGACAGAGAGAGAGAGAGAGATCTATTGGTTGCCTCCTGCATGTGCCCGAACAGGGTCCGGGATTGACCTGCAACTGAGTTATGTGCCCTTGACTGGAATCGAACCTGAGACCCTTCAGTCTGCAGGCTGATACTAACCACTGAGCAAAACTGGCCAGGGCTTCAATTTTAAAATAATTAAAATTAGCGATTCACTTCCTTAGTCGCACTGGCCGCGTGTAAGTACTCAAAAGCCACTTGAGGCTCCTGGCTAGACCTTGCAGCTAACAGTAAGACCACCACGATGCCCTCTTTCCTCTAGTCTTTTCTCTATTATTTTTTATCTTTGCTTCATTATATGTCTCACAATTTCATTCTTGGCTCTAAAGCACTTTGTCTTTTCTTTCTCCCTCTCCCTAGCCTTAGAATAATTATTCTTTAATGTTTTTCAAGAGGAAATAGCACCAGTGGAATTAAAAGTAGGTCTGCCCTACCCCTTTCATTTACTCAAAGCAGGCAGCAATGTAATTCAGAATACAGTGTTTGCCCCAGTAATCACCTGCCCAATACTTATTGAAAGAATAAATAATTGTGAAGGTCCAGGGTTATAACTGTCCCAAAATAATTTCTGTAAAACCACTATGACATGTGTAGAATATTTTCTTCTTGGTAAAAAGGAGGGAGAGTGAAAGGGAGAGAGATCAGAAACCTGTTTTCTCTAGCGAAACTCAGTCTGAGAAAATTACCTTTAAAAATGCTACCTAGGCATTTTTAGTAGGGAGAAAGACTAATTCTAGCAGTATATATTTGAAAGTTTACAACTGGAATTCAACTGAAATCTCAAGAATCTAAAAGTGTGCTAAATATATTGAGACAAAGTCTTCTTAAACAAGTGGGATCTAATCTTCTGAGGCTCAGAAACCAGTTCAGTGCGGACGGGTAGGCAGTCCTCACCCTGGGCAACAGATAATAGTTGCTCAATACAACTGTTTGATGATGTGCTTGGTTGTCCGCTGGGGTCTTTGGTGCACTTTGGGAGTAGGTCCAGCTAGAGCCTAAGCTCCAACCAGGAGTCAGCCCTGGTGATGATCTAGAGGAAGTATGTTACAGCAGGCGGGCAAGGCAAACGTCCTAAAACATGGAACCTGTGCCATTTGATTCTTGGGACATGTTCTTCCGTTTGTACTGAAAACAAAAGAGGAGGAAATGTAGGGAATAAATTACAAAATGGAGTAAGTTAGGGAGAAATGTTATGAAATTCCCACCTAATTGTTTAATGTAAGGCTGCATTGAATACAGACAATGAATGGACTAAATGGTCTGAAATCCCTTTGATGCAAATATAGATATCTCCAGATGTAAATCTTAACCCTAGTGCCATGTTACTCTGTGGGAGGGTGTGATGACCAAGAGGGAAAACCAACCAACCAAATATCCTAAAATCAGGGAATGCTACAGGGCTTTCACCACTTCAAGATAAAGACGAGAAAACTGCTTCTATCCACAACAGTGTAAATGGCATTTCAGGGCACACAAAAAGCTAGTGACTGTTCTGAAGTATGCCATGGTCAGCTCCAGGCATTGCTTGTGTTTGTAGTAGTCCTCATAAAGAACAACTTCTGTTTCAGCAGATTCTTTTTAACCTTGCTCTATTAGCTTAGGTGTAGGCAGAGTTCATTTTGAATCTGAAAATACTTTAGAAAATATACCCTCAGGGTGAAGGGGAAAAAAAGAAAGAAATGTTGATTTTCCTGTCTACATGGGTTTCAACTATTCGTCACTCCAATTAACCATGAAGGACATAATCCCAGACCCTTATCAGTTTCTAAGGAGTCTTCTCTCCTCCAGTTTCTTCAAAAATTAATATATCACATATCAGGGCTAGATAAATTATCCTAAATTAAAATTTTAATTATATCGATCTCCTATGCAAATATTTTCAATGGTTATTGAATAAAGTCTAGATCAGTCCTGCTCAACAGAAATATGTAAGTCACATATGAAATTTAAAATTTTCCAGTAGCTACATTAAAAAATAATGAAAACAAGCAAGTTGTTATTTATTTATTTATTTATTTATTTATTTATTTATTTATTCAATCTTTACCCAAGGATATGTTTTATTGATTTTTAGAGAGAGAGGAAGGGAGAGAGAGAAAAGGAGAGAAACATTGATTAGCAGCCTCCTGTACATGCCCTGAGTCGGGATAGAACCTGTACCTTAGGTATGTACCCTGACCAGCAATTGAACCTGCAAGTTTTTGGGTTACAGGACAATGCTGCAACCAACTGAGCCAATTGACCAG